CGACCCACAGTGACCCTGGATAGGGTTTCCAAGAAGTGATTAACCACTGCAGCACTGGGGCTAAACAGACACACAGGCACACACATCTTTTTATTTTGTTGCAAAGACAAATGTAGAGAGAAGTGGAGTTAGAATACCAAAGCTGAATAACATTGCTCAGCATTTCTCAAACTGAAAAAGTTAAAGCTACAAATGCAAGGTGAGCTTGAACCACCAACCTTGCAGTTCAACCAGCTTTGCAGTCTGGTGCATTAACCCACAGAGCCACACCAGGGCTCCAAAGTACTTGCTTTAATTTTTGCAGTCTATGTAAGAAAGTGAAAAGAAGAAAAATCTAGGCTAAATAAATCTTAATCTCTCGCCTTTAAAGGCTTTAAAATTTTTTGTGTGATTTTTGGGCATGTGAACTTTAGAAAAAATCAGTAACAAAAACTCCAAATAATGTTGGGTTATTACAATGTTTTGTCAACCACTTTAAGGATTCATTAGTCACAGTATGTCAAAAATAGGTAGGTGCTGAAGTTAATGAAGCTACAGCACTGGCAACCGGAGGGCAGAGAGAGAAAGAAAGGAGCCACGCGTTTCCTGACCAGCAAGTACAAGCTCCAGAGGCAGCAAGCTGCCCCTTATGCTGCTACTATCCCCCTATCACAAATCAACAGGTAACACATTACCAATTGTCTACTGAATGCCAGAAATTAAATTTTACTGGTGAAAGAATGGCTTATTAAGTAACATGATATGTAGTAAAAATTGGTCTCTTTGGGGACACTGAAGACATAAAATAAAAATAGAGTTGTTAGGTGTCACTGAGTCACTTCCGACTTATAGCTGTCGTGTGCACAACAGAACCAAACACTGCCCAGAACTGTGCCGTCCTCACTGTTTGTTGCTATGTATGAATCCATCCCCCATTGACAGTCTTCCTCTTTTGCTCTACTCTGTACTTTACTAAGCATGACGTTCTTCTTGAGGGACTAGTCCCTCCTGGAAACATGTACAAGGTAAATGTGATGAAGTCTCCCTATCCTTGCTTCTAACGAGCATTTCTGGTTGTACTTCTTCTAAGAAAGATCAGATTTGTTTATTCTAGCAATCCATATTAATGTCAATATTCTTTGCTAACACCATAGTTTAAAAGCATTCTTTTTTGGTCTTCCTTATTCATTATGCACCTTTCATATGCATGCGGTGGTAGTGGTGGTTGGTGATGGTGGTGGTGGGTTGTTGTGTGCCATGGAGTTGGTTATGACTCATAGCAACCCCACAAAGGGTTTCCTAGGATGTAAAGCTCATCTTGAGGGACTGATAGATTCCAACTGCTGACCCACTAAGCTACCAGAGCTCCTTTCACATGCATATGAGACCAGTGAAAAGAGCATGTCTTGGTGCATCTTTGAGGCCTTTTGAAACAGATCTTGCCCCACGCAATTGTTTCATTTCATTTTTGTCTTCCAATTTTCCTAGATTCATACTTCATACATTCCATGTTTGATTATTAATGGATTTTGCAGCAGTCTTCTCTCATTCTGAATTGTGTCTTCATTAGCAAATGAAGGTCATGAAAGCTTTGCTCCATGCACCCATATAGTCAACTTTACCTTGAGACAGCTCTTCCTGTCATATTTTGAATGCTTTCCAACCTGAGGGGGCTCATCTTCTGGCACCTTATCAGACAAATGTTCTGCTGCCATTCAAATGGTTTTCCATGGCTAATCCCTTAGTCCTTCTTCCTAGTCTGACTTAGTCTGGAAGCTCCAATGAACTGTATCTACCACTGGAGACTATTTTGTATTTGAAACATCAGTGGCATAACTTCCAATATTACAGTAACACAAAGTCACCACAATACACGAAACTGGCCAACTAGTGGTAGGAAATGAAAGCAGCTAATAATGGAGTTCTGGTGTGGCGCTCTAAGGTAAGCACTGGACTGCTAACTGAAAGGCAGGCACTCCAAATTCACCAGCTGCTCCCTGGAATCCCTATACATGGTCACTATGAGTTAGAACCTATTTGATGGCACTTAACAATAAATAATATTTAGAGATGTTCTATATTAATACATGAAAAAAATCTAAGAATCCAGTTAGATCCTTAAAGATAAAGCTGAAGCCTGGATCCCTACCCAATCTTCTATACAAACATCAATTCATGAGACTTCCTCTCATTCATACTCTTAAGGAATGTTAGTGGAATGTTTCTGAGTTGTCCTTGAGTAAACCATTCATGCAATCTGCTGTGGTTGAAAAGCCTAGAGAACAGACAGGGACATTTTCAGGTTCAGAGACCAGGTTGTACATATAAGTCGGTATGGCAAAATTTGGTTAGAAACCTACTTTAAAATAACAGCAAGGTTGTGAATAAATGCCTCTAGGCTACTATTATCTATCAAAAAACCTTAAACACTATGGAATGACCAACTGACTTATCTCAGTTTTTAACAATGGCTAAAGCAAACATACCACTAGGAAATGCATCAGCAAAAATGTGACTGGCAATAATTGTGACAAAGCATAACTCATTTTCACACACTATGGAAAATGCAAACCTCTACAACACGGCCTAGCACTCTTAGGTTTCAGTTCATCCCATACCTCTCTGTATTTTCTTCTCCGTCCAATCTTTTATTTTAGTGTGGTGAATCAGGAACTAACATCTTAAAAACCAGAAAGCATTAAAATAAATTAGGTGCATGCAAACCTCTGCCTGGATAGTGTCATCGAAGACCAAGGCTTAGTGAGGCAGTAGTACCCAAGAAGCAGACTCAGATCTACATCTTTCCCTTCTGTCACTCAATTGTATGACTTTGAAAAAAGCCACTTTATCTCTCCAGCCCCCAACCCCCCACCATCTGTACTTGCTCAATTACCATGAAAAATATAGAATATATTCCTAGTTTATAACTTACACTAGTCACTAACAAGAGGAAATCATAATGCTTCTTATAAACCATTATTGTTGTTGTGAAGTACCATTGACTCAGTTCTGACTCATAGTGACCCTGTGTAGCGTTTCTGAGCACTAAGTGGTAAGTTTGAACCATTCGTTGACTGTAGGGTTAGCATTCTAGGGCTTACCTCACCAGGACTCCTGGTGGGATTAATCTAGTAAAAGAAAGTGGTCTACAAACAATCTGGGCAGAAAATAAAGACTCTCTGAATCAAAAAATATTTTACATGAAATATTTAAGAAATTTCATTTCTTCTTTTCTATTGTTCTTTTGTATCACTACATTCTGTTGTCTACATTTGAATCATTGATTTAACAACTGAGAGTCAGTTAAAGGAGTCCTGGTATGGCACTGTAATCACTGGACTACTAACTACACAGTCTACAGTTTAAACCCAGCAACCTCGGCACTCAAACCCTACACCGGGTCACTAAGAGTGAGAACGTGAGAACACTCATGGCTCTTAACAACACACAACAGTCAGTTGTAACATTATTTTACATTGCAACGACTTTATCAATTGGGGAAGGGGGAACTATTAATTAATTAAGTGCTGTGGAGTGTTTCCAGCCCATAGTGATCCTGCATTGGGTCTCCAAGGAGCGGATGGTGAGCTTGAGCCTCAGACCTTGTGATTCAAACCAACTTTGCAATCCAGTGCGTTAACCCTCAGTGCCACACCAGGATTCCTTATAATGCACATAGCACATAGAGAAAACCAGTATTCATGGCTTTGCCAAGTTGTCTGCAAAACCCTCTGTGGTAGTGGTAGTGTGCTATGGAGTCAGTTCCAACTCATAGCAACCCTGCATCGGGTTTCTGAGGCTGTAAATCTTTCTTTACAGGAGCAGAAAGCCTTATCTTTCTCCCGTGGAACAGCTGGTAGTTTCGAACTGCTGACCTTGAGGTTAGCAGCCAGACTCTTAACCACTATACTAACTACCAGAGCTCCTTGCAAAAATCATATAACATAACCTATTTGTACAAAACTGAGATAGTTTATTGTAAGGTCAGAATACCTTGATTCTGATCCGTATTCTGCAGGAACCCAACCCCCACCCCACCCAATCAGAAAACTTCTAAAATATGAAGGGGTTTCTAAAACTTCGTGAGAAAATTCCATTCAATTTGTTCACAAACTTTTTGAAGCCTCCTCGTAGATGATTTTTACACTTCTTCCAGTAAGACATACAGTGTGCTCTGCATGAAAATCAATCTGTAATGCTATGCTTTAATTAGGTAAACTTGGTGTTTAACAGTAGTTAAAGCAATTGGCTGTTAACAAAAAGCCAGCACTTTGAACCCACCTATTGACTCCAAGGGAGAAAGATGAAGCAGCCCACTTCCCTAGAGCCTGACAGCCTTGGAAACCCTATGGGGCAGTGCTACTCATGAGTCAGAATGGACCCCATGGCAGTGGGTAAGCTTTAATTAAATGACATAGTGCTAAGAAGGCTTAAGCTATAAAGTTAAGTGTTCCATTTGGAGGTCAAGGTACAGTAGACAACAAGAAAAGGGAGGAAGAGAGAAATATTTCAATGGCATTTTCTTCTATATTGGCCTATTAACCCAAACTAATCTCCTAACTTCTGGGATGTACAAGTTTTTCCAAAAGATACATATAACCTTACCTTAAAAAATAACTTTTCTAATGGAAACAGGAATCACAGGGAGGAGTAGGGTAACTATTGTTGCATGGAAGGGATTACAATCATTGAGATGAAACAAAGTATGTAATTTGTTGAATACAAAAGAGATGTTCGTTTCTGAAAACCTTCACTCATTTCACACAATAATATATAAACCTATCTTTTCTGTAATAACTTTATTCCAAGTATTAGAGACTATGTATTTAGTAAAGAAACAGGTTTTACACATTAGAGCTTAAAGCAGACTACAAAAGCCCTACACATAATCAAATTTAGTTTAAAAGTTACTGAACAGTTTTGTTGTTGTTGTTTTTGTAATTATTTCAATTTGCCAAGATAGTTCGTTTCAATTAATTAAAAGAGCTCTACTTTTAAAATGCCAAGTCTATTATACTTACTAAAGTGTGTCCGGAGGACCAATAATTAGAACTTCCCATCGATAAAGATCATTGTCATCTATTAAACCTGCTGAAAAGCCTTCCACTGGGTTTTTGTTGAGTTCTGTGGATAAAGAAAATTTTGATCAAAACTTTTAGTCATATAATTTTCACCTAACATTATAAATTCTAAAGCATTCAACTGATACACTTTGGGAGACAAAATACTACTTGATGGTCAAAACATCCCCAATTCTATAAAATGAGAAAGTCACAGATAAAGCAAATGCTCGAGCAAATTCACTGCTACTGCTCACTTATACCCTGGTTTTCAGGCAGGTTCTTACTGTTTTGGGTAGCCTTTATAGTGGCCTTTACAAGAGCCTGTGAAATTACAGATACCGAGGTCCATCCCTCAGAGATTCTGACCAGAAATTAAATCAGTACTTGTGGTAATTCTCATGCTGTATGCTGTACAGAATACTTAAAGAAACCCTGACAGAGTGCCTAATAATACCTTTTATTGGAACCTGCTGGGCTTACCCACCCACCCTCTGCATTTATATTAGTATCTGTTTGTATATCTCATAGTTTTGATGTACCCTCATTTGTCCTGAAGATAAATGTCTAGTTAGTGCCCATGTATTCCCATTAGACTCTGAGCACAAAGAGCTGACTCCTCTGAGGCTATACATTCCAACACACAGGAGTGGCTTAAAAACAGTTGGTGCCTACAGGAATGGCAGTGGCATCTGGTGTAGACGAAAGATGATTGGAATGGAGAAGAGAGCACAGGCTAGAGACTAGTAATTGTGAAGAGGAGGCGGCTCAGGAGTATGGAGGTCTGCCGTTGCTGTAGTGAGACACAGAGATTAGTAAATAATGAGTGACTGATGCTAGGCAGATAAAAATCATGAGGATTATTCAACAGTTTTACTAAAGTATCATTGGCCTTCTATGAAGGGCATACATTTAAACACACAGCTGGTATATATCAGCTGGTATATATTTGTCTGTGTGTGTGTGTGTTTTGTTGCTAAGTGTCACGGAGGTAGTTCCAACTCCTATCCGCCCTGTATAGGGTTCATGGGGCTGTTTATCTCTGTGGGAGCAGACAGTCTCATCTTTCTCCCTTGGTGGTTGGCAGTCCAGCTCTTATCGTACTCACAGCACTCCCACAATAATGACTGCTGTTGTGGAGTGCTTTCGAGTCATCTCTATAGGATTTCTGAGAAGCAGCTGGTGAGTTTGAACCACTGACCATGCAGTTCAAACCAATCTTGTGGGCCCAATGCTTATCCTACAGCGCCACACCAGGGCTAAATCATGATAGTGAAATATAAATACTCATCATTAACGAAAGTATCAAATGATTTCTCCATGAGGGGAGCTCAGTGTTGATACACTCAAAGTGGTAAATGGAGATAAAGCACATGAAGAGGCTTCAGAAAGTTTGTGGGGAAATTATCTTTCATTTCCATTTTCCACAAACTTTTCAAAGCCCCTTTGTGCAAGTGGGAAGGGCATTTCAGAGTTCGTAATTCTCAAGGCAATTAAGGATGAAAGTTAGTCTAATACAGCTCAGAGAGCTATAAAGACTAGTAACTGAGAAAAGATAGTTTTTTTTTTTTTTTTTTTTTTCCATTTTTAGAGGAATCACAGTATGTCATTGCAACAACTGGGACTTAATATTCCAACATGCCTTGGTCACATGGAAAGAGATAAAAGTGAAAGACTACTTGTGAAAATTGTGAATGGCTTCTCAAAATATGAGAACAAAGACTTTTAAAAAAAATAAATTAATGTTTTTGCCTAATAGACAAGTACATGTCTATAAATAACTTGTTTTAAATCCAACTGGTCTTAAACTTGCTATGTGAAAGGCTGTCACAACAAAACACAAAAAGTGCGCTTTTACTTTTAAATAGTCATTCTAAAACATTAAAAAAAATCTCAAAAATTCTGACATTAAGACTGTTGTTATTAAGTTCCACCAAGACAGTTCCAACTTGTATCGCCCCAATGCACAAGAAAACTAAACTGCCCAGTCCCGCAACATCCTTAAAACTGTTGTCGCGCTTGAATCCACTGACACATTATGATTGTTGTTGTAAGTGCCATCAAGTCGGTTCCAACTCAAAGTGACCATGTATAGAGTTTCTAAGGAGTAGCTGGTAAGCTTGAACCATTGGCCTTATGGTTCAAACCAACTTTGCAGTCTAGCACATTAACCTACATCATCACACTAAGACTCTGAGACATTATGATAGAAACTACATTTTAATCTTATTTTATTTATGCATGCAAACTGGACATTGGAGAAGAGCTCAATCAGAAACAAATCTAATTTTTAGAGTCCATTGAAAGATGGAGTAGAACACAATCACAATACAGGCAGTGGAGTCTATATTAAGTTATCTACTGCCAACCTCTTTCCAAATGAACACTGTTGTATTACCCAATGGAGTCCCAGTGGTGCTACAGGATAAGCATTGGACTGCTAACCTCCAGACTGGTGGCTCAATCCTACCAACTGCTCTTCAGAAATCCTATACAGGAAATCAACTTGATGGTCCTTAACAACAACATTTGCATTACCGAGGGGAATGAGGTGGCTCTGTAAGTAACATAAGCACTGGACTGTGAACCACAAGGTTGGTGAGTTGAGCCCACCAGCTGCTCCACTGGAGAAAGATACAACTTTCTGTTCCCACAAAGATTTATAGCCATGGAAATCCTAATAAAAGATCGCTAAAAGTTGGAAGCGACTTGATGGCACATAACAACAACTGTATTGCTCAGACCATTTTCTCATACAAAATTCTGTAGTTTATTCATGAATCCCTAGTGGCATTTTTCATCTAGTGGAGTTATGGAAGAAGTCCAATGGAGTTGCATAAATTTAAAGTGGGTAGGTAATGAAATGAGATACATGGTCAAAATCACCCTTTCAAAATGCCTTTATGATTTCCATAAAGCATATGGTTTTTTTCCCCCACTTTTGTCAAGACACCATAAATTCTCAGAATCTTTTACATATTCTTTCCACATTTTTTCTCCTACAAGCGTGATTGTATCCACGTGTTTCACCTCTTGTTAAATGCCACCGAGTTGGTTCTGTGTAGAGTTTCCAAGGAACTTGCTTTGGACCGCCAACCTTGTGGCTATCAGTCCAGTGCTCATGCTACAGCACCACAACAGTTCACACAATTACAAGATTGAAGATTATCCAACATCTCACTTTGTCAAAGCTTTTGCCCCTAGCATGAATCCTTATAAAGTTTAATACAACAGTCCTGGACTCCTGGTGTGGCACTTCAGGACAAGCAATGGACTGCTAACCATAAAGTCAATGGTTCAAACACACCAACCACTCCTTAGAAACCCTATACAGGGTTGCTATGAGTCAGAACCAATTCAATGGTACTTAACAATAACATTAGGTAGACCATTACCATGGCCCCAACTCCATGAATGTTTCCTTCCTTCAAAGTCCAGTTCAAGAACCCAGCCTCTCTTCTCCATGAGGCCTTCCCTAATAATTCATCAAACAGTTTTCTTTTGACTTCTGCTTAACTACTATTAACTATACTTTTAGTCTACACTATTTCATCTGGACTTCTGGTATGGCGCTGTAAGATCAGCAATGGATTGGAACCACAAGGTCGGCAGTTCAAACCCACCAGCTGCTCTGCAGGAGAAGATGATGCTTTCTGCTTCTGTAAAGATTTATAGCTTCAGAAACCCAGTATTAGGGTCGTTATGAGCTGAAACCAACTCGACAGCACACAACCACCTAATACCCAGTGAAGTAAACCGATCATTACAAAATGTAATAAGTGTATAATGTGGGAGACCACATTTAAAAAAAATCACGAAGACTTAAAAAAAAAAACGGGGTGGGGAGCCTTCTAAAAACCAAGGTAACATCTGAAATAAGACATGAGTCGGGGAGGATCAAGGTTTAGGCATATGAGGCATGTACAAAAATATGGAGAGCAGTATATTATCAAAACAAAATGAGGGACCCGTAGTTGAAGCTACACAATATCAGAAGCTGGACAGCAAAAGGTCTTTAGAAGCCATTGAGTTTGAACTTTACACAGAGAGCAATGATGAATCATTGAAAAGGTTTTGTTGTTAAGAATGAAGTGTCTTCAAAAGATTTACATTTTCAAAAACCAATCTTGCAGTGTATGTGGATGACATGGAATAAGGTCATGCTGAGGACAAAGAACCCAAACAACAGAAGGTAAGCTAGTAATGTAATACTGGATATTTGGGAGATAGATTGAGCGTACTGAACTTGGTGATGTGGTCGTTAAAGTAGAAGCAAAAAATGATGCACTTTGTTCTTCTGTGTATATTGGTAATCCCTGGACTATTTCCTCAATCTGTAAATCAAATTTGTACTGAGTCTTTACAGTCTTAACAGGTACAAGTTCCTGTCTAACATCAGTCAAATGTTGTCTTAGTATATCGCATATCTTGATATGAATAAAAACCATGGGGGGGGGGTGTAACTAAACATTTTCAATTTAATACAGAAATAATAGTACTTTGATCCAGTTCTATTGTGGAGCTATAAGATAAGCTCTGGACTGCTAGCAGCAAGGTCAGTGGTTAAAACCCACCAGCTGCTCCTCGGAAACCCTATACACGGGGTCCCTATGGGTCAGAACCTAGGGGTCAGCACATAACAACAAGGCTTTGGATGACCCTGGGAAGGCATAGTACAAGCCAGCTGTGAGATGAGGTGGGGTGATACAGCAGGTGAGGGAGCCTGGCAATCTGTGGGGCTTAGATGGTGAGGACTCAACAGTGCGTGGAGCAGGGGCTTCCCAGACCTGTCAACAAGGCAGGTCTACATACAAGTTGGCAGCAGCGACCCCATAAAATACAGCAACAGAAGGCAGGCCAAGCGACAAGGAGGAGGAAGGCAGGTAGAATAAACCTGCTGAGGTGCAGACACTGGTGGGCAGGACAGTCATAGAAGGAGCAGGTAGGCACTGGAGAAGAAGATCACAGAGAGTAGAAATGTTTCCCAAAGCAGAAGGGGATGCTAAAGTGCGGAGGCTGCTGCAGAGCAGGAGCCAAGCGGGTGGCAAGGAGGAAGTGGGAAGG